TATCTTCTTCTTATTATACTTCTATCCAATGAGAATTGCTGAAATGGTCTTATCATGGTTCTAAAGAGACTGGTTAGCATTCCTATAAGACCACCAGTAGCTGAAAGTAGTTCCAATAAATTATAAGCTTTTCTATCATTGATATTAATTGTATTTTAAAGTGTAATTTTAGCTTCAATGTAATAATCTCCATCTACTCTATCTATATTGGTATATGATTCGACAGTTGATTGGATATATTCATATCTGAATGTATCTAAAGACTCATGAACTATTGAATCTGATCCTTGTGCTATATTTAAAAACAGAGAAAACGTATTTATTCTGAAATTCGATTTATTAATGAAGAAACTTTTACTTTCAATAAAAGTTTTTATCGGATTTTGATGGAATTAATCTACATCAAAATAACGGCTGCTGTAAATGAACCTTAGATAAGTATTTTTTATTACTTCTTCAAGTATTTCTTTATCATTATTACATTTTGACCCTTCATAAAATTAATCTAGAAACACTTAATAGCAATCTGTCACGTAAATGCTAATTTAAGAATCATAACCAACTTCAAATCACTGATTATCTTCAGTGCAGAGTAATTAGAAGTTATTATCTTCAGCATCTTCCAGGTGAACCTTAAATTATGAATCATTAAAGAACCGATAATCTTAGCAAGGAGCTAGTTGAACATATGTCTATTTACCTAATTCGGGATCATTTACTATGACATATAAAGAGAAGTACTAATATATATTGAAAGTAGCATTTTGAGTATTCCAGGATATTGGAGGTTCAAGACCCACTGCCCAATCAAAGGAATCTTTAGTCACTTACATGCTCTTATTAGTAAAGTCGCCATAACTGATAACGGATTTGATTGTACTCTTTTTATTAGCAATATCTTAAGCTAAAAATCCCGCATAAAGCAGAAGTATGCCTACTGATAGTATAGTAGATATTGCTCCAAGTATTGTTTTTTTTGATTCTACACCATTATACAGCAATTTGGGCTAATGGCCATAAAGGTCGATCTATTTGAGTTTACTGAGTAGTTTAAACAACATTTTATGATATTAAATATTTAAATTACCTAATTTTATACAAAATCTGCTAATCGGGGTTTTGGGGTTTTGGGGTTTTGGGG